CACGATGGTTGTGTTTGGACGTACCTGGTATGGATAGCTTGTCACCTCGTTCGGGGGCTTGTGGAGGCCATCGCATCTTAGTCTTACCTCCCATATGATGGCGCTAAGGAGCCATCGAGGGGTGCCACGGCCCTTTGAGTGGTCTCGTCTGGCCCGCTGGATGCTGGTGATGCAGTGCGGCATGCTGATGGGAAATGCTTGTGCCAACCTGGAACCCTGTCCTAGCATGCCCGCAGCCCATCAACGTCGAGGCTTGGTCCAGTCCCTGTTGAATGTCTGTGGGATGGGCACGATGAGGGGAGGATGGGCGGGCTCGCAGTGGAATCCCCAGTCAACCTTGTCCCTTGCTAGTGGGAACGGTGAAGGACAGGGCCTATCCCCGGTACCCTCTTCCCCTAGAATGCCACCCTTGTTTGTATGTCGGCGTCTTTTTGATCTTCTTGCTTCTCCAACGGGCTCGCAGATTCGCAGGCTCGCAATGTCCATGAGGCAGGTGTGTGTTCGCTCGTTAAAGGTCAATGTGTCTCCTGCGCAAGACATAGAGGTCGGGCGCTGGGAAGGATTCGTGTTGATGTTGCTCAGGCTGTATAGGTCTTGGGCACCTCGTGAGCAGACTACTTTGTATGTAAGGAAGCACATGGTAATTACCTTGGCTTTGCAGAGGCATTGATTGTATGTGCGTGTGTGCAAATGGCGACCAGGCACGACTGTTTGTACTTGGTGGAAATAAGAAACGAGTCATCCACATGGAAGATAAGGTGGAACTCAAATAGTGTTCGCGCGCAATATTCAGAGGAACGCGAGGTGCAGATACCTAAAGGAGACACAGAGACGACGTCGAAGACGGAGACGAAGGAAGAGAGAAAGAGAAAGAGAAAAGATGAGGAGTCTCAAAGCGACAAGCCTATCTACCTTACCTTAAGGCAAATAGAGGTAGGTACCTCGGGTTATCCGTATCTTCCTCCTGTCTCCAAGGTACCCAAAGTGCCTTCCATACCTTTAGGTAAAGTGAGGCAGGTTCGTCACCACGGCAGCTTGAGGCTGAGGTTGTTCTTGCTTCTTTGATATCATCTTCAGTAACGTCACGGGGCGGACCTGCCGCGTGCTGAGAAACCGCAAAGTAAAGAGGAAAGAACATCCGATCCTAGGACCAGGTTCCTCCCCAATCTAGGTACCTCAAGGAACCTCAAGACGAGGTAAGCAGCACCTTGGCTCTGCTCTTGGGGGCAGGTTTTCCCAGAGAACTTCAGAGAACCTTCATCTCCATCTCAATGACGCATCTCCAGGTCCTTCGATTGACGTTCAGTCTGTGTTGCTTTCCAAGATTCCTTGCCTCAAGGTATCAGAAAGATGCTGCTTCATATCTTACATCGGACACTAGGCATCCCGTGTGTGTTCGAATCTGCGCAAAGAGCAAGGTACGTATCACCTCATCCAGGACATTCCCAAACTAAATTTCCCAGGTTTTTGAAAGACATGCCGCTCCCGTGGCCCCTCGTGCGGGTACGCAATATTGCCATGGCATCGTTGACCTACTTTACGACGGCACACCCGCAGCACCCTATCCATTACCTATCGACTTCCCATGTTGTACCTCTGCCCGCGACCAATCCATAGCAGACGGAGAACCCACCGACCGTCAACTGAGGGATTGTCGACCAGTCCAACAGATTGAGATGGCCAATCGACGTCCACGATTTAGGGGAAACCTGGCGCCGACCTGGCCAGACCGCCGCAGTCTGCCTTTGACGACCAGGAATCCAGGACTCTAGGAAGCACGCCTAGGGCCGACTGCAGACCAGGATCGTTGGGCTCGCGCTCTTGTCTCTGTATCTCGTCCGACTTTTCCTTTGTCTCTTCCCTCTCTCTTGTTCTGCGGCCTATCCTTGACCCGACGACCCTCGAGCCTTGTCATCTGTTCGAAACGGTACCTATCCGACGATGCACACAACTTCTCGACCTATCCGCAACCCTCGTCTTCTCAGTCTTCTCTTGCTGTGCCATTTTGGCGAAATCCGCACACTCTTGGCTGTTCGGGGCCGACGATTCATCTGTGGGTACCAAAAAGAGGTACCTGACATTGCGATATACCGCAGTAGAAGGAAAAAGACATGGACCAGGGGGGGGCGTTTTCCCTCTCTCAATTGACGCCGCTCGCAATGCGCCCTCACAACTCACCATCCGCAGACTGGACCTCAATTAGCAATCATGTACACTGGACGTCCGTATCCATTCCCGTCCCCGTTTTCCCCGTCATCCCCGTTGACAACGTTCCCATCCCATGTCTATCCGTATGTATTCTGGATGCCTATGCCCCCCCCCCCTTGCCCAGTCTCATATCTCGTCACTGCCATCACGGGCGGTTTGCTGAGCGCGATGCTCTGCGTGGTCTCTGGATATCCCACCATCGGGATCACAAGTTCACAACCACCCACACAGCACGCTACGGATACCATGTCATGTCATACATAGTACGAGTACTTACCGGACTATGCAGACTTGTATCAGAACACCAGCCAACCATTGTGAGGCACGGCACCCCATATTCAGTACTTGCCCACTGCATCACACAATGAAGCCTCGTTGAGTTTGAAAGCTACAGTATGTACTACGTACAGTACCGTACGGCTACGGGTACTTTGCCCCTTCTTTCTTCTTTCTTTCTCTATCCGTCCATCTCCAAATGCTCTGCCATGGCCCATTTCTATCCCCTGGCTTCCCTTGCCTTACATGGGATGCATGTATCTGTACGGATACCTGATGTTTCTTACATGGAGTTTGCAACTCTCTCGGCCCAAGTACCTACCTTACCTCCACGGATGAGTACTCAGTCATGGACGGCAAGGTACTTTCGCCTTGCTCCAACTCCAGCGCCGGATGATGCCGTCCAGTTCCTCTTCGTCTTGTCGCGGTCCTGATATTGTTGTTTCCCTTGAACATCCCTGTCTCAATGCCGTTGCCGACGTTGTTGCACCTGCACATGCGGCTGCTTGTGCCGTTACTCCAGTCTTGTGTCATGCTAGCTCCCATCGCCTGTTCTTGGTGCAACCATGGTTACCTACCTACTTTGATCCCAGAGCAAGATACGATACGGATACGCTGCCTGTCTTTTTGTCTGCCGGGCCTCATCCACCTTGCCGACGCGTGTGGACGCAACACAAGTTGACAGGCTCGGAACTCTGATTATCATCATTCGCTCCTATGTTTTCTCCCGTCCATTCCCCTAGTACTTACACCTGCTCTCCTCCCTTCTTCTTTCATCTTCCATCTTTTTTTTTCTCTTCCTGGGAAACTCGCCTCTCGCCTTTCACCTTGCTCTCCCTTTTTCTGCGAATTGCCATTGGAGAAGGTTGACAGACCAGCATACCTACTCTGTCCCCTAACCAGCTGCTAGCCATCTATCACCCATCGTGTCAACTTGACCGCAGCCAGGTAGGTAGACCCTCACCTACCCAGCCACCAAGCCATCGTCAGCAAGCAGGCAGTACAACCGCGATACCGGGCTCGACTGCCCTACCCTACCTGTACCTACCTGTACCTACCTGTACCTACCTTACTCTCCGATCTCCAGCTGCGGCACGGCACTGCACACTCACATCACATCACATCGAATTCCTCCACATCCTCTGTCATCCGCCATTCGTCGGAGGCACCTCAGCTCGGCTCGCCGAGAGGCCGGAATCAAGAACCAAAACCCAGATCCAGTCGGTCCAGGACACCCATTCGAGCTGTATTCAGCACGGCAATGAGCACCACCGCACACGCCAATTGCCAAATCCAGACAGGAGGTCAGACTAGGCTACAAACCACCAAGACATTTTGGCAATAACAGTCTTTGCCGCAGGCAGTGACAGGCACATACGGAGTACTTCCTATTAGTCTAAGGCAGTGAGAGTGTTAGCATCGGACCACCTCCACAAGCGAAGCCCGGACCCCAGAGTCGATCGCACAAGCTGGCTTGCTCTCGCGACTGTCGCAACGAGGATTCACACCAAAGGAACGTCAACGTCCAAGGCCGCGCAGACGGAAAGCACAAGGCCAGCCAGACGCACCCCGGAAAACCATAGGTCACATTATTGTTCCTTTTTAGCCCCTCGGACGGCCATCGAATTTCTGCACTACTATCACCCCTGTTGCGGGCCTTTCTATTCGTCATCTCAAGCCAAGCTGCATACAAGCGGCTCACTATTGGGGGGGAGGGAATGTACTAGTCGGGTTGCTTTTGAGCTGACCTGACCTGATCCCCGACCCGATCTAGAGGAGGAGACACACACACACACACTTTCAGAGACAGAGCAAGGAAGAAACAGAGAAGCCGAATACCTACCTACGAACCTGTCTGGCTCGGCCTGGGAATTGTTTCGACTGTATCTCTGCGTGGTAGGGTAAATTAGAGGGGCGGCCCGTCCTTCTACTTGTTAATTGCCGTGAGCTTTCCTTACCCCGTCGTTGGAATCTTGTAAGAGTTCCTTCTGGAGAGCAGATTGGACTGATTGCTGTCTGGCTCGTTGGATCGCACCCGTCACATCGTCCGACTCCCCCGACTCAGACTCGACTGGACGCGACTCAACTCACACTCGCCTCGCCCGTTTTTCAGTCATCCCCTTCCCTCCCTTTTCTCTCGTCGTTTCAGCGATCATCCCGTTTTCCTTTCTTTTTCCTTTGCTTCCACAGTCTCTGGCCGTCGTCCCCTTGTGCCAATCACCTCAGACCGACTCAGGACCGGAGACGCGGCATAAGACATACTGCATGAGTCGTCAGCAATAGCGGCATCAATAGCAGCAATATAGCCGGTAGCGCCCACAGCGCCCACAGCTGCTGCATCGCACCGAACCGCACCGCAGCGCGCAGCGCATCACATCAGGTATCTTGGCTGGGTCTTGGAACGACAGTCAAGAGAGACACAAGACAAAAAAAAAATCAGCCTTGTTGAGACCCTCGAGTCGGCAAAATCAGACGCCAAAGTGCAGGGCATAAGGAGCGAGAGCGCAAGCGAGGCCATGTTCCAGCCTCAACCAACGCCTTTTGCGTTTCACGCCTCGGCACACAACCCATACTCTCACGCTCATCCCCACGGTCATGGTCAAACGTACATGCAAAGCCAGAGCGGCTCGCCGCAGGATCACCGGCCTCAGAACAGCGGAGGCTATAGCATCAGCACTGGGGCAGCAGGGTTAGGAGAAATGATGATGAGGAACGAAGAAGGCGGAGGAGGAGCAAGAGGAAGAGGGGTAGGAAGAGTGGAGATGAGGATGAGGATGGGTATGGCGGGCGATGGTGTCGGAGGAGGTGCATCTCACGACGCCGGCATTGATACAGGAATGGCGGGCTCACATTACGGCTACTTGTCGTCAGCGAGAGCAGAGAGGGGATCAGGAAGCGGCCCTATTTCTGGCTCTGGCTCTGGCTCTGATTCTGATGCTGTTTCTCGTTCTGGTGGTCGAGGCCATGGACATGGTCTAGGTCGAGGTCATGGCCAAGCTGGAGCTGTTGGAGCTGGCATGGGAGCTGGAGCTGGAGCTGGAGTGGGTTCATCGTCGGGTGCATCGTCGGTGGGACTGGACAGCATGGGTAACCCCCTGGTGATGGGCGGCGGTGGTGGTGGTGATGGTGGTGATGGTGGCGGCGGCGGCAGGCTAGGGCTGGGGATGGGGATGGGGATGGGACAGATGGGCATGGGCATGGGCAACTTGAACGGCATGGGTATGGGCCTGGGCCACAGTGGGCTGTCCCTGTCGGCGCAGTCGCAGCCGCGGTCGCAATCACTGTCACAGTCGCTATCTGGTGTTATGGGGATGGGCGGGGAAGCTGCAGGCACACACAGCCTGAATGCTGCGTCGTCGCCGGCCGGACCTGGAACCTCGCTAATGACAGGAGCAGCACAACAGCAGCAGCAGCAGCATCAATACCAACAGCGCCAACAACAACAACAGTATCCTGGGCGGCAACAGCAGCAGCAAAGACAGCTAGTCTCATCAGCAGCAACAGCAGGAGCAGTGGGAGGGCCGTTGGCGACAACACTAATAGCGGCTACAGCGCCTATGGTTGGCCCCGGCCCGGTCGCCGGCCGGGCTCCAGCTGTCACCAGCACCAGCACCAGCACCAGCACCAGCACCGGCACCACTCCCGCATCGCGCGCAGTTCAGGTTCAGGTTCCTGTTCCTGTTCAGAGTCAGGTTGCTGCACTTGCACATCATCATCAGCAGCAGCAGCAGCAGCAGCAACAGCAACAGCAACAGTCTCAGTCTCCTTCATCTGCCTCCACTCCTCCTCCTTCACTACTACTTCCTCCAACCACCACTTCAACCACCACCACCAACGCCAACGTTGTCTCTGGCGTTTCCGCCGTGGCTTCGGCTGCTCCTTCTGCTGCCCACTTGCACCTTAACAACCACCATAACAGCCCCGGCGCTGCTTCTGCTCCTGCCTCATCCTCCTCCGCGTCTTCTTCCTCCTGCTCCTCCTCCTCCTCCCGCTCCCTCTCCCGCTCCTCCCACCCCCATTCCCACTCCCACTCCCATTCGTCCTACGGATACTCCCACGCCAACCTTTACTCCAACCACAACCTCCTCCACGGACACCTCCAGCAGCAACAACACCCTCCTCCTCCTCATCCTCACCCCGGCGCCTCTTCTTCGACAACATCCTCTTCTTCTGCCTTTTACACCACCAACTCCAACGCCAACCCAGGCTTCACAAACACCGCCGCCGCCCTCGCTCCTGATCACGCCCACGCTCCAGCCCACGCCGTGAGCAGCACTCGTCGTCCTTGCGCCATGGAACCCGGCGACCCCTCCGACGTTGCCGCCCAAGAAGCCGCCGCTCGGGATTATCAGCCACAGCTCCAGGTGAGTTGGCTCGCCACCCCGACTCCGGGAGACGCACGCCTAGCTCCCGTCGCCGAACCCCCCAAGCTTCGACTGCTCGTGCTCGTGCTCGTCCTCTCTCTTTTCTCGCCCTCAACCCACAAGAATCTCACAATCCTCTTTGAGTCCAATGCTATTGAATCCAATACCATTGAATTCCATGTTTCCTCCACGTCCAAAGCTCCCATCGAACCCGAATCCTTACTCGTCATACACACCCTGCCACGTGCAACGCTAACACGGCTTACGCCCTTTTCTAGGGTTTATTGGTGGGCGACAAGATTACCAGCGACGCCATAACCGACGAGTACGCCAAGGCTGACGAAATCTATATCGCAAAGACCATCGTGAGTCCCATGCCAGCGTTCCTTGCCCAGGGGATGCATACTCCGCGCAGTATGTTGCACCGGCTAACGTAGTGATTCTGCTCGTTTTACCCACTTCAGAGCCTTCCCCAGACATATTCTCACTATCGCCCTGTTCAAGGTGACGGAAATTGCGGCTGGCGAGGTGAGTTTACCTTTCACGATCCTGACCACCATCACCACCACCAATATTTCCTTCTACCCCGCATCCCCGCCCCTCGAAAGGGTGGAAGGTTCCTGGGAAATCACTTCTTTTCAAGCACGCCACTCTTCACCTCGACTCATGTCGGCGCACATGTCCGTTGCTTGGAAGGGGGAACACTGCTTCACTTCAGCACTCAAAGCATGTTGTAACTAACACCATCTCTCTCTAGCAATCGGCTTCTCCTACTTTGAGCATCTCATCAACAATGGCGACCAGCATCAGATCCTCGGCGAGGCCGCGCGCATCACGAGCTTAAATCAGTATCTCCTCAACGTTGGCGGCTACGATCGGATGTTGTTTGAGGACATGGTGGAAGAGACGATTGGCTTGTTAAAAGATGTCGCCCAGAATATTGCCAACCCACAGCTAGCCATGGGCATCATGGTCCAGCGCTTCAACGACCAGGGCTCTTCCAACGCCATCATCTACCACCTTCGCTTGTTGGCGCTCTCATGGCTCAAGGGAAATGTTGAGCTCTACGAACCCTTCATTCCCGCCGAGACGGGTATCATCGGCTATTGCGCCGAAATCGAACGCCCAAACAGAGAGATTGACCATCTCGGCATCATTCTGCTCGTTCAGGTGCTGCTAAAACCCATCAACTTCGTGCTGGAGATTGCGTATCTGGATCGTAGCCCAGGAAACCAAGTCAACATTTACCGCTTTCCGGACGAGGCCAATGGTCAAGACCCTGCCACTCTGGGCCCCATCATCTACTTGCTCTACCGGCCCGATCACTACGACATTCTATACAAGTCGCCTCCGAATCCGCCACCCTTGAATCTTCAGGTTCACCGTGTTGGTTCCTTTTCTCATTCTCAAGAGATTGCGAGCGTGGGTCCTCCTTTGCACAGCTATTCTCTCGACTACGGCCCCCTGGCCATGCTGCCCGGATTCGGGGGCCCGCCCTCGGGCTTGTCTTCCGCTCTGTCTTCGCTCGGCTCGCCCACATCTACATCTCCGCTTCCAGACGCCTATGACCCTTCACCTCAATCTCCTTGGCTCGCGACGCCGTACTCTGATCATCACATTCAGCAGCAGCAGCAGCAGCAGCAGACGGCACCAGCCCCTCGACCGCAGCCTCAAACGCCAGCTCGACCACAACAATCGACGCCTGCCCCTACGAAGCCGTCGCAACCGGTTGACTACCAGCTCAGATTTAGTCACCAGTGCTGGCATCTCAACAACACCAGCTCGGCGCAACCGTCAGTGATACCCGGCCAAGCCGGCTTCCATGAACCCAGCTTTACTACCGCAATGTTCAAGAACAGCCATTTCAACAAGGCACACTATAATAATCCTCACTTTCATCCCGAGGAGTGGACTCCGGACGATGATGGCCACCACGAGCGGCTGCCGGCGCCCAAGAAGAAGGGAAGGGTCAGGTTGGATCACTAGGCAAGGCAATCACACAAACGATGGGACCACTGTACCATCAGCCATTTCGCCAGTGATAAGTTGGACTTTCGCCATGGTCCATGAGCATCAGGGGGCAGACCGCCACTGCGATTTCCAGGAGTGTAATGGAGGGGGGCGGGGGAACAAGGCGGTGTTACTTCTTTCTTTTGGCGGTCTCTGGGGGCCCGCATTGTGGGAGAATTAAAATATGCCTTGATTTGGCTCATTGTGATTTTAGTGTTTTGCTCTACGCAGATGGGAAAGGCATCATGATTTTATGATGGAGGGCTTCATCTTCTTCACGGCTTTATTTGGCGGGAGGGTTCGCTCCTCGGGTTGATACTCATCATAGCATCGGCGTTGATAATTAATAGTACTCTCTAGTGCGCAAAAGTCCTCTGCCCCTTATGGTCGTTTTGAGTAGGTATTGGACTCCTGTATCGTTGGTGCGGCGAGCTTACAAGGAAAGTAGAATCTTTGCCTGCCGCGAAAACGGGCTTGACATGGAAACGTGATGGTCGATCTTTTGCCGCCCCCCCCCCCCCTTCCCCTTGCCCCGTCTATGGGGATACATCTGCAACGTCGTTCCAAGATGATTAATTGTTGTGGGTGTGTACAAGAACTATGTATGTACTGCACATGTGGGTTATCCAGGATCTCACACACGTCGGCGTCTGCGTCTGCGTCTGCGGCTAAAGAAAGGTTGCCACCTGGCACCCCTGACATCAAGCATGCGACAAACGCCCCGTTCAAACTCTTGACCTCTTTTTTTTTCTTTTTCTGACATGGATGGCGTGAAGGCGTCAACGGGGTGAGATGTGAGGTGTGAGCTTGAGGTCCCACGGGTGGTGGGGCTTGGCGCGGCATATCATGGACTTTGCCCGGAGCATGGGGACGGGTGGGCATTGCATTGCATTATTCGATTGCTAAGAGAGAAACAGATTGGAGAGAGAGAGAATGCGGCGGTAGAAATCCCGCAAAGAGTGAAAATCGGAGTTGGATGTCATCTACCTGGTTAGAAATGAGTATCTGTACTGGCTCTCGCTCTCCATCCATGTCTATCTACGCCCAACTACCTGCAAACCTTTGACGGCTGGGGGGTCCCGCTTGGATGGCGCTCTTGTGGAAGAAAAAGCATCATCCTATGGGGTTCAGCCATGCCACCACGCCCCCGTCCGTCCTCGGTATGCTCCGGAGCAAACGTTACGGGAAGATATGCGTGGCAGCTTGACAAAGTGCGAGCTGCCAAGGCTCTCGATAAGCGTGATATCGACATGGTAATCTACAACCAGTAGCTGGTTGCAGAGACTCAATGGCAGTGAGATATCGTATTCGTGATATGTAATGCCGACATACCTACCTTGCTTTGCCCCTCCGGTCTGCAGAGGTGATGAAGATGCTTCGCCACGCAAGACCGAGAGGTCGTCCTGGCTTGGCAGGCTGGGATCTGATATGCCAAGATATAAAAAAAAGGTGTTTGCTGATGCAGATGGGGGTATCATAATCGACAATGTCCGGTGAGGTATCCTCGCCCCCGCCGCACCGGAAATAATCAGGCTCCCAGCGAGCCGGAATTTGATACCCTACGTTCTGGTTCTTCCGGGAATAAGAAGAGAGTGCGAAAGGATATGCTGACCCGGGCCGACCACGGAATGCGCGTCTCCTTTCAACAGGTGCCGTTCATAGCGAACGGTCCGGTCAAATGCTGGCTGCCCCGACATCCAAAAGAGGGGCTCAGAATTTGATGGCTGACGAGCAGAGGAAAAGAGGCGGGCAAGCCACACGTTGTGTAACCCGTGATGCACTCCGGTCACCAGCATTCTTGCTTCTGGCCGTCGTCTTATCCATGGGCCAGTACCGAGGCGCCACTCATAAACAGATGGCAAGTTGGCCAATTGAGGCAAGTATTGAGGATACGGTCATCCAAGTAGTTGATGCACTGTCGTCGGCGCAATGCCGACTCCGAGGCGCTTTGCAAGCTCCTCGGCCCACCGGCGAGCATACCATTCTCTCTTCGTCTTGCCATCGCCAGCAAGACTCAACTGCCTCCAGGAATCCTCGCCGAGTTCGGCTCTTACACTGGTGGCGGTTTTACCTTCGAGTCCGCATGGCACGAACCTCGCCCAAGGATTGAATGCCTCGTCGCCGTCGACGGCAACGTCCACGTTGAGCGCCGTGCCGAGCCCAGAGATATGACGGCGAAGGTGAACACCCATGGCGGCAATCTTGCGCTCCTGCCCTCCTGTTCGCTGCCTTGCGGCCTCGGCCCAAACTCCCGGATCGTCCTCGGAAAGGTACGTCTGGACCCCAGGTCCATCGGCGAGGATCGCTTGTGTGGTCTCCTCTAGAAGTCGCGCGTAGGATCGGACGGTCAGGCGGGGATAGTGTTTGCTGTGCAGGTCCAGTATCGGCCACAGGACGACCTGCCCAGGTCCATGATATGTTGTCAATCCGCCGCGATCTGTCTCAATGACTTCGGGCGTGAATTGCTGCTCTCCTGAACTTGTTCCGCCATTTTGCTCCTCTGCCGCGACCTTCGTCTCTTCGATGACAGTCAAAGGCTGTTGAAGTCTTTCCAGCTGCTCGGGTAATAAGGTCTTTTGGCGGCGGCCAAGCGTATACGTTGGTGCCGGAGTGAAAGATAGGACTAGCGGCGACGGAGCGCGGGAGTTCGGCGCCGACTTCCAGTCGAGGAAGACCTGACGTAAGGCAGTTTGAAAATTTGAAGCCGAATCATACGATGGAAAATGTTTCGAATCAGAACCGTCGAGGTGAAGGTGTCGCAATTCGCTCGGTTCGGCGCCGTCGTCCTCAGGGAAGACCAACTTCGAGATTGGCGTTGAGGAGCTCCATCTTGCCTGTCGCAAGATGATACCAGGTATCTGATTCGCTGAGCGTGTCAGGATTGGAGTTGGAAATGTAGAAATCCGGTATGCGGTTTGAAGGGTCCCCATCGGCTCGCGTGTTGTCGGAGGTTGCTGTGGACTTGAACGGAGTTTGTCGACGAAGATTGTGGCTGAGGTGAAGTCATACGCAAGCTGCCCGGAGCTTGAACAAAGTTTAGCGGAACGAGCCAGCTGGAACTGTCATCGGTACGTATCTTATCGATAGAGTTAGGTTATCGGCAAACGCACGAGCCACCTTCCGTCATAAGGTAGGCACCGTGAGACGGGCGTAGGGTTCATGATCCTTCAGAATCCCCGGTCTGTCACGGCATACAAGTCGTTTTCTGAGCAATCGTTATCGATAAGGTGTGGCCTCTGTCTGCGCGGGTCGCCTCACACCAACTGTCACGTCGTCAAGTTCATTCAGCTCATCGGTACGCTCCTACGGCTCTTTGTCGTGCTAGAATGGGAGTGCTTTCACGATTGCCTCAAGGTCCCTCGGTATGTTGCGGCTTCATTGCGAGTCGGTTCCGAGTCGTCATTGTGTCATCTGTATAAGATAGGTAGCTCTTGTCAGCTCGTGTCCGCGCTGCATGTGCGTGCCATTGGACATCCAAGACAGGATGCCGTAACTTCCTTGAGATGGTGAGACACTTGTGCGCTTTTCCATAACTCAATGCCCTCCTAATGACGGCTTGCCCTTTCCTTGGGAAGCATGATGTCTTTTGTCCATCGAGCTCTAGCCCACACATTAAAAACCAGCTGGGCCAGGTTCGCTTTCTTCCAGCTATGATACCGTCACCCAGCACTTCATGATGATGACATTGAGATGCCTTGTCAAGCTGACAAGATGTTTCGTATGGAGCTCGAAGTCTGGTCGTGTGCCGAGCCGTCGCCGGCGTACGACCAAGTGGGGTTACCGGATGCACCGAGTCGATCTGGCGCCGATGGTCTCGAGAGCATGACGGACAAGTCAGGTGTTTCTTATTTGTCAGTTACGAAGGGACTTCGAAACGAGAGGTCTTCTAGGTTGGGGCCCAATAGCGAGGAGAATCGAAACCGAAGTCGAAGTAAGCAGTGCGTCTGTCAAGCTGCGAAGGAGAAGTCAGAGTTCCCGTCCCATCCGGCGGGTGACGCGAGAGCACCCAAGCTAAGCCTCTCTGTGTGCGAGCTGGAGGGTGGAATATTTGCAGCACGGCATCTGAGCCACAGTAGGACACATCGCCTTGGTCCAGGCCGCGCAAGATATCAAAGACAACAGAGCAATCCCGATATGATGCCATCGATTCCCGCGAAGACAGGTGGGTTGGTAGTAGTTCAAATGTCAAGATGCAGACCACCCCTCACACGTTGGACACTCTGTGAGCTGCGCCAGACGCGCAATTCTCGGAAAGTTGGGCGAGGATGGCGGAAGCAAGGTGTTCGGTCTGCCTTGGCATGCAGAGTGCTGCTGGACGGACAAAGACCCTGCATCTAGCAGTCGGAGAAGACGAGCCACTCAACTCGAGGGACAACGTCCGGCATCTCGTCCCATGGTGTTGACAACAGAATAGGTATTAGTGGTTTCAGTAAAAGGGTGAGCAATTGTTCGGGTCCAGCCATCCGCTTTGGCATGCCGCATGTGAGGTTTTCATCGGATGGGTGGGAGTTCAGCAAACGCTTGGCCGAAGCACCAGACGAAGAAGCCGCAGCCATGTGCTTTTCATCCGAACCGAAACAGAACCTAGGAGGATCCTGTAAGGATATCCGTACGGAGCACAGAATACTGAGATGCAAGTTGACAGTCCCAGGCCTTATTTCGATGAAGCATCCGAGCGGAAGATTGCCAGCCTTGTTCGGAGCCTGAAGAAGATTAGCGTGTTGACGATCACGACCGAAGGAGACGATGGAGCCTTGGAGCCTTGGAGATGCAAGCAGCCAGCGAGGGGTCAGAGTGCGAGGAACTGAATCGTGACGAAGGATGTGGTTGGCCCGGTGCGAAAAGAGAAAAGCCAGGGGGGAGAAGAGCTGGAAAAGGATGTTGGATGACGTCGTGGCAGGGTGGGGGCTGGGCCGAGGAAGGTCCCTGCGCTGGCAGTCGGTGACTGGCGTGCGCGACGAACCACAGTGGCTCAG